AGGAAAAAAATCTTTTGCAATTAGTAGCTTATCATGCAGAATGCCAAATATATAAAAATCTGAATTCTGAATTTTTTGTCACTTACGTCGATTTTTCTTTTTCGCAGCAGAATACGGATTTGAAATTTATAAAACATATTCTCGTGTGGTATCTAGTAATAGCTATAAAAATACCCCCTTTGATGGTAGAACTCACCCACTCCCTGCCTAGTAACCATAATTTTTCTTAAATCATCCCGAAAATTATAATTTCTTATGTTTTGCTCATCCCCTTAAATTTTTACTTAATTTAGATTTCTAACGACACTCGTGGGAGTTTTTCTATTCCCTATATAAATTTATTTCAAGTCCCTGAGAAGAGGGTTTTCTCCTTACCCCCCCCCCTTTTCCAAATTATCTCAATTTTCCTTAAAAAAAATTTAAAACAACGATTTTTAGCCTCTCTTTTTTGAATTCCTAAGCAAATAAAGTTCGGAAAGTGAGTTTTTACACCAATTTTTAATTTGTTCTAAGTAATAAAAAATTTTCCCCACCGAGAACTCCATCTCNAAAACAACGATTTTTTGCCTCTCTTTTTTGAATTCCTAAGCAAATAAAGTTCGGAAAGTGAGTTTTTACACCAATTTTTAATTTGTTCTAAGTAATAAAAAATTTTCCCCCCCGAGAACTTCATCTCTTAAAATACGCCCGGGCATTCCTCATTTTATATTTAATGGTCCTTTTTTTTTTTTTTTTTTTTTTTTTTTTTAAATCTTTAAGCCATCGAAATGTAGAACACGACTTTTACCATTTTGCTGCAAATAAAATATTTTCATAAAAAGTAACCTTCTCGCGTAACTACCACTACAAATATTGAATACAAATTCTCTAGTATATAAGACTTGTTAACTTAATTAGGTCTTAAGGTACCGTTTGATAGATGGATGTGAATAAAGTTTTGTTTTCATAAGAGAATGTTATCTTTCCCTTTTAAGAGCATAATGCTCATTTAATTAAACCTTCGGACAATCTAATATGGATAATCAACTAATTATTCCATAGCCTAACAAAATAAAATAAAATTGTTTGTAAGTTTAGTATGAAATTCACCCTTTTCCTAATAATAATAAAATTCAAGGTATCCTAGATTGATTACTATAAATATCAAGATGTTATTCTCTGCCATTAATTATTTAAGAACATTCAAACTTGAAACATAGCAGAGATAAATCTTCTTCTTCGGCACTCAGTCAGTTTGATTCTAGGAAAAAAAGGTACCGGAAAAAAAGCTCCCAGAAAAAAAGGTACCTGGAAAAAAAGGTCCCGGAAAAAAAGGTACGGGAAAAAAGGTTCCCCGGAAAAAAAGGACCTGGTAATAAAGGTACCTGTGTAGGGAAAATTCTGTAGGGGAAAATATTTGAATTGAGAAGATTAGATTGAAGCGCTTTTTGCTGTTCCGTGCATGTTTATTTATTTATTTTTTATTTTTTTTCGTGTCGCGCGTTTTCGGAGTCAATAAACATCCAACACATAAATCCTCCCAACTTCCCCGATTGGCTACTTTAAGCCTCACATTAGCAACTTCTTCACAAAATATAATTTAAAATAGAAAATAGCACATTTTTCACTTTAAAAAATTACAAAAACGAAACTAAAACATTATTGAAAAATTTAAATAGTGATTTCCCGCTTTAAAAAATAATCAAAGAAGAATAAATAAATGAAATAAAATTTTTAAAAAAAAGCGTAATACTACTAGCCCATAATTCCCCCTTACCTCAATGATCTAATCTAAATTATAACAGATAAAAAGAATATTCATTGAAACAGCGAGAAGCATTCATGCTGCCCAGAAAGCGAGACGGGAAATATCCCTACAGATTTTCCCTATGGAGGTACCTTTTTTTTCCAGGGACCCTTTTTTCCGGGACCTTTTTCCCCTCTACCACAAATAAAGACCATGCCCAAAATGTTCTTTTTATTTTTACATATTTCTTGAAATCAAAACCACTGATTTTAATTTTCTAACGCAACTATCATTCCTGTCCTACCATTCATTGTATGTGAAATCAATGGTCAAATAAAATGGGTTATATATTAAGTGTACCCCTTCCAGTCTATCTTTCCTTTTCGTTATCCACTTTTTTGTTCTCAATAGAAAATCTAGAATTTGTATAGAAAACATTAAAAAATGCAAATGGTAAAAAATAAAAGATTATATTCTAAATAAACTTAACGCACAGTGCACACAAAAAAGAAACACTCTGAATAACCTTTGATCTAATGATCGGATCTTCACGTTCTAGGACTCAGTCATAATGGGTCAAGAGGGTGACCTGAAATATGCCAATTAATTAGTGCAAACTATATTTTAAGTTACGAAACCAGGCACAAAAACGTACTTTCTCTGAATAAACATACCTTTTTTTCAACGGAATTAAGATTTCTGTGTTCAAAAATATAGTGGGTAGCCGTAATATGCGAAATAGAGTCTCAATAGTTTTAAGAGGAAAGCTGTGAAAAATTTGGACCCCTTAATGTTAATTTTACGCTTTGCATATTTCACCATATCTCGAGAACTTTTTAAGTGAATTGAAAAATTTTTGCACACAATTATAAAATTCGTTTATCCGAAGATAATTCTATGCAAAAAATACGTTTTAGTGAATATTTTTTTTTTTGGTATTTTATTTATTAATAGTAAAAAATATATATATGATATTATATAATGATATGCTGAATTATATAGAATACAATTTTTTGAATCATTTCAAAATACATAATTTTACATGGTAAAATAAAAAATTTGAACGATATCGGGTGAGAAATAGAATTTTAAAAGTGCCGTATATTTAAAAATTCGATTTCTCAGCAACTATTCGACCGATTTCGTTTCAATTTCGTATTTTGCCATGCAAAATTGCATACTTTAAAATGATGTAAAAATCGCATACCTTATAATTTAAAATTTTTTCGACTAATATTTGAGAAAATAATAAATATTTACTAAAATTTATTTTTTTGCATGTAATTTTCTTTGGATAGAAAGTACGTTTCGGGGTGTGATTTCGTAACTTAAAATATCGTTTACATTAATTAATTAGCATACTTGAAATCATCCTTTCGAACCTAATGAGTCTTAAAACGTGAAGTTTCGATCATTAGATAAAAAATTATTCAAGGTTTAAATTTTTTTTACGCCCAGTACAATAAATAGAATCTAGCTAATTTGTAGTTTCATTGCTCTCTGCAATAAAGATTCATTAAAATTTATATTTAGTGACTCGGAGATTTTTTTTGTTTTTCAATTAACCTTAATTTAAGACGTTTTTTTTGGCAGAAAAATTACATTTTTTAACAATTTTATTCGTTTTGATTTGTACTAGCACTTTTATTATAGTACCTGCAACCTGAAAAATGCGATTCCAATAGTTTGGTCAGGAGAGCTGGTGAAAGTTTGGACCCCACAATGTTAATTTCACCATTTGTATATTCCGTTACATCTCGAGTATTTTTTAAGCGAATCGAAAACTTTTTGCTAACAATTATAAAACTTGTTTATCCAGAGCTAATGAAAATTCGAAAAAGAAATGAATAATAACTTATTTTATTTCATAAATAGACGAGGAAATTTTAATTGCAAGGTAAATCAATTTTGATACCATTTTAAAGAATGTAATTTCAAATGGTAAAATACAAAATTTTAGCGCAATCAGTTCAAAAGTTTTAGTTTTCGAATTTTAAAAATGCCTTATATTTAAAATTTGATTTCACAAGAACTGTTCGACTGATTTCACTCAAATTTTCCAAACTGCCATATAAAATTACATTCTTTTAAAGAACAATTGGTAACTTCTAGATAAAAATTGGTATTCCTTACTTTTTGACTATAAATAAAATGAATAATAATTATAAATTATTATTCAAAATGTTATCCTTGGATAAATGAATTTTATAACAGTTAAATAGTATACAGTTGCCTGCTATTAGATTTTTGATAAGTATGTTTGTTTTCATGCAATTAACGTTAAAAGAATTTTTTTAGCTTTATCCAAATCAGTTTTTATCAGTTTTAACTGTAATAGAATAAATTAAATTCTAAGAAATCTAAAAGTTGAGACGCGTGCAGCTTTGAATTACGAAGCCGAAACCAAAAATCACATCATTTTATATCTCTAAAGTTTTTTGGAGAGATTCTTAAAGTTATCAAGTGATATTTTACCTAATCTAATAAAGTAATTTCTTTATTTGAAAGGTATTGTGTCATATAATAATATACTCTTAATTGAAATTGAATATCAAGAAAACACATTTTAAAAATTCGACTTAAAATCCAAGATGCCTTACTATTGAAAAAAGGGAAGCTAGCTCAAGTGATATTCTCCCCGAAAGTAAATAAAATAAAGAAACCAATTAAAAATATAATATGTTTATTTATTTTTCACAAAAATAAATTTATATACACATACCAAAATTTATAAACGTAACTAAACATGCATACACAAAGATGAACATTTCTTTGGTCTTATAAAAATAGTATAGTTATAAAAATCGAAAAATGATATATAACCATAAATCATAGTATTTACATTTAGGAACAAAAAAAATTTTCAATTTATATACCCTTTTAAAATGCTACATCTTGACAAAGTAAAAATGTTTAATACTTATTAATCAATACAATGTACAAGTCGAAATTAATTTAGCTTTTCAAAAGACTTCAAAATCCCGTAATCACTCTCTTAATGAAAACTTGGCACAAATCTACAATATCATTGACTCAGAATATCCACGTAGTAAATATATTTTTTTTTTTCAAAAACACTAATGAGACACAGAATTTTGATCAGAATGATCAGAATTTTTACATGATCAGAATTTACATGATCAGAATTTTTCTTCAGTACTTTTCTCTTGTAACTCTTCATATATAAGCTCCTTACCTCCATAAAAGGTACAATAATTCAATACAAGTATAACAATATTTTCAACAATTCCATAAGCATCATGTAAATTATTCATACTTTGTATAGTATTGTTGATGATTCCCATTTTCCTTTGTATGCTGAGAATTCTGAGTTGACAAGGTAGAATGACATGGTCTAATAATGCTATACTTCAACTTGTTCTCCGAAAGTCAGACTGAACTGTAGTCATCAACAGGTTGTTACTTTTTTTTTAAGAAGTTGCAATTTTGAATCATCATTAACCTTCTAAATCATCACCAGACGACTTCTGAATCATCATCAGTAGACTTTTGAACCCTCATCAGTAGATTCCCATTCATGTCATCAGTAGATTCCTAAAGCAGTTGCATGTTGTCGAGATTTTTGTCTTAGAGATGCTAATCCATTGCAAGAATTGTCAAACTCCTTATATACTGAATTTGAGTTGACTAAAAAGAAGAAAAGAAATTGATTTTATGAGAACAAGCTTACTACTTGTAATACGTGATATTAATTGTCCAATAGAAAATGCAGTGAATTATTAGTGTACAGAATGATATAAACTGAATGAAATATGATTCAATATGCTTTTTTCAAATGCTTTGCCTTTTTTTGTGATAAAGTTTACTTTTAGAGATATCGAATAATGTCCAGCGCTGATCTTACTTGCCTCGAGATATTGGCCTATTGTTGAAATATTTAATTTTAACAGAGAATATTTAGTCAGAATAAAATAGCTAGGCAGCTATTGCTAATGGTATAAAGAACCTATTTTGGTGGTATAACTCGAGGATTTCGTGTTTGATCAAATACCGGATTTGGTATTTAAATATTTGTAAATTTTTAAATAATTCTTGCTAGGTATTATTTTGTTGGCATAATGTCAAAATCGATAAATCTGTCGCTTTTACTACTGGATACCTGCTAGTGACGTCAGAAAATCAGATTCAACACACACGCTTAACTTTGCTTGATGATATCCAAATAAATCTAATTAAAAAAATTATTCAGCTTAATAAACTCATGTCTCTAAGCTGTAACTTTAACAACCACGTGATTAGTTGCAAGTATCCAATTGACAAGTCCGTACTTTTGGCACAGTAGCAACGAATTTTCTATTCTCACCAAGCTTAGTGTGGTGTCTTGCTTGCACTAAGTGATTGACAAGCAGTTGGCACATGAAAAAGAGGGAGGCCGAATGCGAGATGGATCGATGGCCTAGAGAAGGGTCTTAAAAACTAAAAATTGGAAAACACTAGCAAAAAAAAGATTAGCCTGGAAAAAACTTATTGAGAAGGCCAATGCCCACCCTGGGCTGTCGAGGCATTGATGGTGAGGAAGTGATTGACAAGGCAATTAGTTTATGAAATATATAAAATTCTCACCTGTTGGGAATTGTGGTGTATAAGGTTTCACATCCAAACCCATGAAGTGATGAGCAGCTTGTAAGTTATTGTATGCAGTACTCACGTAAGGTTCAGTGTTGTTAAGCATCCTATTATAAAAAAAATACAAAATTAAATTAAATTTCTTATTAATTAAATTCAAATTGCAGTTCTATTTGGTAAGCCACTGCGCAATGCATGTATCGTGGCTGCTTATCAAAATTTACCGAAAGATTGTGAGTGTTTGTCAATTCGGTAAAAATTTTTACAAAAATTACTTCTCTCAAAATTTTATTGTGTGCTTTAGGACCATTTAAACAATTGAGGATCATGATATTAAAATGGAAAGGAAAACCATTTTAGATTTTCATGTATAAGGTAAAAGCCGTATTTGCTTTACAATTCATATACTGCCGTACAATTGAAAAACCGTAAACGCTCCTCAATAGATTTTTTTTAAAAATAAGTTATTCACAGTACAAAATGCCAAATATAAAAATAAAAATTAAAAATCTAAATTTTTTGTCGTTTATATTAGATTTTTTAATGCACGATAGTATTGGTAGTGCTTAGATATATTTTTTTAAAGAGGAAAGATTGTTTTTCAAATAAATGCGTACTAGTGCATTGATTGACAGATGCAAGTTTTTTTTTCAGAATATATTCATTCAACTCATTAATTACTTAAATAAAGTGTTAATCTTAAACCATAAATATTTTAATTACAAGAAGAGGATGAACTTTAAATCTAACAAATATTTTAAATAAGTAACTATTCAGCTTCGCAAACTCTTCTGTACTAAAAATTTCTCTATTTTCTCTCTCTATCTCAATTTTTAATTTCACCATTTTCTCTTCTGTTCTTATTTCGAACTTTTCCACTTTTCTCTACTTTCAACTTTTCCATTTTTTCTTTCTTTCTCTATTTTAATTTCTCTATTTTCTTTCTATTATTCTGTTTTTAATTATAATAATTTCTCTTTCGTTTTTTTTTTAAATTTTTCTATTTTTTTCCTTCTTTTTTCTGCTTTTTAGGTCTCGTAAACAAGCCATTATGAAAGTGAGAACTTACCCAGTATAGTTTTCGGTTGATGTAGGAAATGGTGCGGGGTTCCACGAAGATGTAGTGTCGGGTCGAGGTTGCATGTTTGCAGAGTTCCATCCCATCTCGCTGTTTGTTGGTGGTAGATGGAATTCAGAAGTAGAAGACACTTGGGAGTTAGTATTGACTGAGTTTCCCAAAATAGAGAACATCTGTAAAAAATAAACCAAATTAAATATAGTTATCCAAAATTATACTTACATAAATTGAGAATTTTTGATAAAAGGTCGTAAAAAAATTTTTCGTCCCAGAGATTTATTTATTTTTTTAAATTTCACAAAAATCAGGAAATAAAGATATTAAAATTACTATTTTGAAATGTTTGTAGATTGAAAGAAGGCTTAAAGACATTTTAGCTGTAAGTATTCGACAAAGAAAGCCCCATCTTTGGCAGTAAATTAAAATGCCAAGAACAAAAGCGACGTAATACGAAAATTTTAACCCTTTGTATCACCATGTTACATACCTGCAACATACATGAAAATTCAATCCTATAATGAGGTGGATTTACCTATAAAATCGAACTAAATTCAGCAAAGAAAATATTGCAAACTCGGGGGAACCAAGTCTTGGTGCAGCTGCCAATATTATAATGCGTTTAGCAAGAATTGTTCCACGACATAATTGCAGGGTATACAATTTTTTTACAACAATCCCCTTGATTGTATATTTGGCTAAGGAGGGATTGAAAAATGTGGTGTGAGACCTTGTTACCATAAAAACAACAATTTCAAAATTTTTCACATGAAGTTTTAAATATATTGGAATTTTTGTGTTATTTTTCACGATATTGGAGATGTTCATCAAATGCTTTTTATCAATAAATTTTTAATTTTAAGGTCAATTTTTTCATTACTTTTTACACGCTTAATATGATGTATTCTAACATCCGCGTAAATATTTCTTAAATCAGAGTTGTTGAGTTACAAAGGATTAAATGAGTGTTAGAGATGTAACAGAAATGAGTATAACAGATTTCGCTAATTAAAAGTCTACTGGAAAAAATACAGGCCAAAGATAATTTTTATCTTCATTGTCAACATACAATGCTAATTTACTCGTATTTCCTAAAATGTTAATTCGAACGTTCATCTACCTACCTCTTCATATGATAGAATAAATTTGCTCAAATTCGATTATAGAGTTCAAAGTTATAAAATAAATAAATAAATAAAAATAAAAATCTGGAGAACATTAAATAGATAGGTCTTAAAATATTCTAATAATATGCAAATCAAAATAATATGTGCATCAAAATATAAAATTTGCTGGACTTTCTAGCAATCTATAATTGTTGGAATCTTGAACTATAAAATTCACTTTCTTTACTTTTTTCTGCCCATACATTTGACAATATTATAAACAACAATATTTTTCCAAACTATAAAGGAAAGAAAACCTTAGGCTCTTTTAAGTTAGAGAAATAGCACTTGAAAACAACGGTCGCTTTCGCCGAAATTTTAACTGCTGAAAAATGGCTGACAAACATATTGCCTTTTCCAAATTTTTGATTATAAAACTGCTCATCGTGAGAGTTTCTTGGTCATGAATTGAAAACAATACTGTATTTCAATACTTTTAGTATTTATATCACTAACGGTTTTGAAATTTACAGAGTTTAATTTATGTTGTGGAATTAACGGTTTATTTACCTGTTGGGCTAGTGGGGCTGGATTGACGCATGGTTCAGGAGGTAGTTGTGAATAAGCTGTGGAATGACTTGAGGAGAAAGAAGGTTGAAATCCTGATGTAGATGTAGTACCACTCAGGGCTTGTGCTCGATGCCATGTACTGGCATCTGCAAACAAAAAGGAATGCATTCAGATAAAATAAAGAAGGGGGGAAATTGCTGCATGACTGTAATTATGAAATCATATGAACTCGTCTTACCAGGGTGAGCATTTGCTTCATAGCAGTGAGGATTGGCTGAGTAACCCAACGGAACAGTTGGTGCTGCAGAAAAAGCGGCAGTCAAGTGTTGGCCTCCAACTTGCTTTCTCCATCGAGCACGACGATTGCTAAACCATACCTAAATAGATTGGAGAAAAAAAAGAGAGATTTAATTTTAATGACTGATCTGTTATAAGATTAAAAGTATAAAAATACTAATAAAGCTGGGAAAAGCTAAAAACTTTTTTAACTGAAGGATAAAATGGATGAAGTTTCTTATTTTAAGTAGTTTAAATGATTGAAACTAACATAATTGAAGAGATGACTGAAGTTTCTCAGTGACATTTTTGTGAATGTGAGTAAATTAGTTTACATGATTGCGGAGTTGAATAAAAGAAGTTTCTTAGTGACATTTTAATAAATTTGAGTACAACAGATTACATAGTTGAAGAGTTGAGTGGATGGAATTTCTTAGTGACATTTTAGTGAGTTTGAGAAAATCCTTTTTGACAGGAAATAAAGATTATACCTTACTTGCATTTATTTCGCTCTCATGATTTCAGTAAGAAAATTTAGATTTCAAAAATTTCTTTAAATTGGTCACGTCCTTTCAATTTCCATCTTAACTTTTTAATTTGGCACCAAAAAGAAAAACTTCCTAAAGTTACACACTGACTGCTTTTTGCAAAATGCTCTCTCGATATTCATTTAGTGCCTTCATCCAGCTAGCTTAACAAGCTTTGAAAAACTTCGTAAAATAATAATTATAATGCTGTATTGCTAGAGAGTAAAATGAGAACTTTTCCCAATATGAAAAAATGTCTCTTAAAACCATTTTCCGGTATATTCTGTTCACCGAAAACTGATAGTGAAGAAGAGTTGCAACCTATCGCCAACATTGCCTACATCTGCCCGGTTCCTTGCGCAATCGGCGGTTGTTTTCTCACTCAGTATTTTATTTTATTTTATAACCGTCGTTGAACAGCCGACCCAATTTCATGGGTTTACGACTACTTACGTTCAACTCCGTAGCCTTGTAATTTTGAACCAATCCAGAAGACAAGGAAACTCCTGGATCAGTACCCCCAGAGGTATTGATTTGTTGTGGGAACATGGAGGACTTTGNAAAACAGATTACATATTTGAAGAGTTGAGTGTAGGAAATTTCTTAGTGACATTTTAGTGAGTTTGAATATACCAGTTTAAATAAATGAATCTAACACAATTGAAGAGTTGAGTGGATGAAGTTCCACTGTGGCATTTTAGTGAATTTGTGTAAATCAATTTAATACATTGATAAAGATTATACCTCAATTGCATTTATTTCGCTCATTTCAGTTATAAAATTTAGATTGCAAAAATTTCTTTAAATTGGTCACGTCCTTTCAATTTCCATCTTAACTTTTTAATTTGCCACCAAAAAAGAAAAACCTCCTAAAGTTACACACTGACTGCTTTTTCCAAAATGCCCTCTCGATTTTCATTTAGTGCCTTCATCCAGTTAGATTAACAAACTTAAATTTCTCAAAATAATAATTATTATGTTGTATTGCTAGAGAGTAAAATGAGAATTTTTCCCAAGAAATCAATGTCTTAAAAAATGTCACTAAGAACCATTTTTCGGTATATTCTGTTCATCGAAAACTGATAGTGAAGAAGAGTTGCAGCCTAACATTACATACATCTGCCCGGTTCCTTGCGCAATCGGTGGTTGTTTTCTCACTCAGTATTGTCAAGTTAGCGATGCTCGTCATAACTTCGGCGACAATCAGCCAAGGATAATGTCAGCTTTGTTTCTTTTTGTTATCAGTTCTCGCCGAACAGAGCATAAGCTCATCAATTACTAATTAAAGTTTAAATACCCTAACTTTTCTTAAATGTAAATAGTCATGCATGATATGATACATTTAAAAAGTTGCAAATAGTTAAAGCTGAAAATGGCTTAATAAAGGATAATAAAAAAACAAATAAAACAGATTAAAAAAAAATTTACAGATTTGCTCATGTGAAATAAATAAAAGGAATGAGCAGACTTTTTTAAAAATAAGAAAAAGCTAAAGAAAACTCACTTGAACTCGTGCTTCAGTGAGGCCTGTTCTCAAAGCTAGTTCTTCTCTGGTGTAGATATCGGGATATTGAGTCCTTTCAAATGCCCTTTCCAGTTCTTCCACTTGTTCTGCACTGAAGGTTGTTCTAGATCTGCGCTGTTTTCGTTTTAAAGGAATGCCCGGTTCTGATTCACAATCAGATTCATCGTTGCCTAAGCGACCTGCAGAGAAAAGTTTTACTCAGTTATGCAAAATATATAATCGTCACTCTAATTGACCTACCAAATTGATCTCAAAAGTGGTATTTTTAAACCTACTTAGCATTGTTGTTCCTAATCAATTGTCCCTAACCTCTTACGACCAACCGTCTAATATAGTGGACAATAGTTGGTATAATTTTGTCACGAAAAAAAAAATATTTTAAGATTATTCATACTGTTTGAATGCCTTTACAAAGCGATTGTTTAACATAAAATATAATTTGATTTATCTTCTTTAATCGAAGTTTTTAATTACAAGGAAAAATTACAAGAAAAGTAAGAAATTTTATTCGAGTTACCTTTTGCTCAGTTTTATGGCATCTTTCGTAGTGATTTTTTCCCCAAAATATTTTAACGCAATTATGAATTTTCTTTCTTCTTATCTACATAAAAAAGTGTCTTTCCTGCCATTATTTAAAGCTAGGGATTCAGAAAGCTAAGCAATCGGAAAATGTGGCTTATTATACTGCCCAAAACGATTCAATTATGCATAGCTGCCAAAAACTCAAATGAAGAAAAATTCCAACAAATTTCAAAATTGTATAGAGATTTTTTCTGACGAAAATTTGCATAAAGTTATCTTTGTAAATCTTCATTAAAAATCAACAATTTTAATAATAACAATATTTGCCAATTTTCGGTTGTCTAGTCATTAGGAAATTTAACTATTTTATTTATTTTTTTATGTGTTAAAAGATAAAATAATAAATAAATAAAAAGATGGCTGAAATATACATTTTTTGCGACTTTCTCTTGCAAAATACTCAATATTTTTTTTAAAAAAAAAATTAAAAATAATAATAATATAATGACAATAACTTTTGTGAGCTTGTGTTACATTGCAAGGAAATCTTAGTAACAGTAGAGTAATTCCTTCCTAGCTGTCAAAGAAAAGTAAAGTAGTGAGTTTATTATCAAATAATATTCAAATTTTAAAGGTACACATGTGGTTTAACATGAATAAATGTTACTTGACAGCTCTGTATCGGAATATGCAAATGTTTTATTGATAGTGTGATCAAACGTTATGTTTACTAAAATTTCTAAATATTTCGAAAGTAATAATGTTATTTTTATTCTATTTTGACGAATCTGATGTGGCCACTGAAATCTACATCGTATTAAAAGACAAAAACGAACGTTAAAATTCTCAAATTCACTGTATTTAAATAATTAGAAATAGTACACAAGTTTTGAATCCTACACTGCAGCATCATCTTCAGTGCACACAATAACACAAAATTAAATAAATTAAACAAAATAGCAATGAAAAACATTACTAATAGATAGCCATTTGTTAAGTTGTCATTATCACCCCTTATTTTTAACACTTTTGTTACATTTTTTATGAATTATACTGTACACTTAAGATGAGGCTACAGTGTAGCGTCAAAACGTTCAGGGCATTTTTAGCTATATTTTTTTTTAATCTTATATAGTTGTGGTTTTTTACGTTTGTTTTTATCATTTACTATAGTCATCAGAAAGTTCTTATTTTGCTTATTATGCAACGTTGTGGTTGATTAAAAACTAAATCATATCTATAAAGAATACGTGTTTCCTTTCTTAGCAATGCGTAGCTTTTTCTTCTTATGATATCTTCTAAATCTCATATTTCTTTTTTTTCGGAGACCCACACTGGATTGTTTACAAAATGGAAACACGCTTATTTTGAAAACTTTATTTGGTTGGGGTCCTCCACAACGCCGGCGGCCATTTATTGTTGACAAAAGTCTTCATGGTGGGACACCATTCAAAATGGAGGCCACCCTTGAAGAAAAAAAGTCAGGTGACGGAGCTGACGAATGACTTCCAGCAGCAGCCGGACAGTGGAAGGCGGGACTCATCCTAAATGCCGGACTACAATAACTCCTAGACTGCTCACACCTCATATTGAAGCATTCATCTACATGGTCCGCCAACTGTGCGGATCAAAGGAAAGTTCCTTTGAAGAAATGCCGCCAACAAGAACACCCACCAGGTTTGACAATGGCGGTCGGTATCTCGACTTTCTGCCTTTTCTAATACTGACTCCGGATTAGAAAGCCATTAACACCTCTTTTAATGGAAATCATGTTATGATTTTGTTGAGTTGAAAGAAAATAACACTCTCTCTTCACCTAGGTATGCCTTTCTTTGGGTTCCTTGAGAAGTGTATTGTGGTAGAAGAAGAAAAGAAAAAAATCTCCTGGAATTTTTGGTTTGATTTTCTTTCTAGGGTGCTTCCTTTTTAAAATGACCACAGATTTTTTATTATATTTTTCATTACACGAACTCACTGATGGTTTCTGAAATTTATTGAATTCTTGTAAAAAAAATAACTCGTACATAGTCAATTAAATATAACTGTTATTGATGCGATTTAATAGATTCTTTAATCCATTTTTGACCAAAGGTGCGAAACCGCACTATTGCAATAAATATTTCTTCAATGAATTATATTGAATTATATTTTTCACTAATTTTATTTTTCTGCTATTTTCAAAAGATCTGAAAACATCTATTAAATATTAGTAATTTAATTGGAGTCAACACTTTCTGTTGAGAAATTTTTTTAAAAACTATTTTTAAACTATTGGTTCGAACTTTAAATAATTATTGAAAAATTCGACTTTTTGAAAAATTATTATTGTAGCATTTTAGATTAATCATATGTTTTAATGGTGGATTGAAACTGCAAACTCTGCAAAAAATTAAAAATTGAACGATTGTTACAAAAAAAAGACTAGTGTTAAACTAAATGATTGTTTATTGATGTGGAAAATGGTACAAATACGCACCTTTTTGTTTATTAAAAAAAGTATAATTTTTCAGACATAGATGTACATTTTCTAAGAAAATTTCTATGCTTGACCTAAAATCGGTTTAAAAAAGTCAAATGTCGGAAATAAACAATAAAAATCAAGAATACTGCTTTCATATGTTTAGAATACTATTTTATAATATTCGAATTCAGACTCCATTTGTAAAAACAACAAACTAAAATTGAACTTATACAATTTTCGAATTATTTCACCACATTTCTGCTTATAACGTGAAAATGTTGTGGCCAAACACAAAATTATACAAATAAATTATTTTCATGACATTTATGAATTTTATTAGACATTACCAGGCTGATACTGGCCAGAAAATCAGCCTACTTTGTTTAGAATATTTTTATTTACCAAATTTTATTTACCAACAAAAGCTTAATATAGCTGTATTTTTAATTAAGAAAATTTACAATTAAAAAACATGGTTCATTATTTGTGCTGCTATCATTTGTCAAAATATGTGTTTCCTTACTCATTATGATTAAGGCTAGCATTTTTCTTCTGCAAAATTTATTTGGAAATAAGATTTCATAACTGGTAGCTTTTCGAAATGACTCTCTTTCCAAACTGACTTTACTGAATGTAAAAAGACATATTAGATAACAAACTATTCTATAGATCGAGTAAACTGTGCAAAGCTAGAATAAAACAAATACAAAGTTGTTGTTTTTTTTCTCTTACCATTGAAATTGATATTTAGAATTTATGTTATGATAAAAGAAACTGAATTCCAAATCCACACACTTATGGTTTATATTATAAGACTAACAATAAGAAACTCACGAATACAATTTGCACTAATTACTTCGATATGTAAAAATCAGTTTGCATTTTCGTCTTATAAACATTTTTAAATGAAATAAAATTCTGTCAACACGGAGTAGACAATATGTGCTGTTACTTTCAGATTCAAAAAATATATTATAAATATATTAAAAATTCGAACAATGAGAAAATAAATAAACTCGGACATGACTCAATAATAGTAAATACTGTAATGGCATAGCAATGTGAAGTTGTTAGCATATTTTCAAATATAGGTGTGTCTGAATGCAGCTTCTCTCCATACCGCTAATTAATCATGAAAAAAAAAAAACATCTTTCCCTCAAAAATTGTCGAATTCAGGAAAAAAAACTGCAAAATTATGTGTCTACAAATGTAAAGAGTCCGAAGCTATTTAAATTATTATTACTAAGGATATTATAAAACCAATATCAACATAAAAGAGAAGAAACCGAAATGTTTAGTGTTTGATATATGCATTGATATTTTTTTCTAGTATTTTTTAATGTTGCCAATGATCCTGAGAGTGTAGAACTCAAATAATATCAATAATTTTTTTTAGAGTTAACATTGGTCTTAAAAGACGAAAAGAAGACAGTCAATTATATTTTCGGATTTAGCAGCACAAACTTGTTTGAAAGGAAGATTATTGGACATAGAAATTTCATGATTATTAAAAGTCCGAGGGAGTGTAATTTGAGAACAACTTCCGATGCAGAGTTTCTTATGAACCATATAAATGGTTAAGTGACTTCAATGTGGTAGAGTGCGACGCTTAATTTGAAGTGAAACCCATCACGCTAAATATCATGGATATTCGATCTGAAGAGGTGTAAAATGCAGTGAAAAATCAGTCTTTGTTAGTTAAAAGACGGAAGAAAGTGTTGGGAAAAACCCTTCACACCGAAGAAGCTTCACGAATTTCGTTCTCACGCTTGTTGAGTCAGTACCTTCAAGGTACTAATAGGCAAGATGAGGAATTCGGCTTGGTTTAGAATCGCCATTTAACAAGCTTTCCACCATTTGATGGCTTTTTGGTGACAAAAACAGCTTAGGAGACATAATGGCAGCTGCTGTTTCCCAACCTAAAAATGTCTGCAGCAAATAGCAGATGGCTATTTTTTTATTTTTGACTCCATAGCCGTGTGAAGAATCGAACCCCGCATTTAGGCTAATTTTGCATAGAGTATGATCCTGAATTGAAATCGCCTTTAACCCACACGCTCAAACTTTTTTCAGTGATCCCCCTTTATAGTTCTTTGTCGAACTTCTTCTAGCAGGGTGGAGGTTGGCAATCGGCTATATCGAATCGCATCGAATAGAACATTTGGGGGGCCGGAATAAGTCTCTGAATGGATGGT